ACGAGAATGGGGGAGAGAGAGAGAGAGAGAGATATAGAAAAAAAAGAGAGAGAGAGAGAGAGAGAGAGATGCGGTCGGACCGAGGTATAAGATCGAGGACGGTTCGGCGATGAGGGTACCCAGATGTTCTTCGTCCCTGCTGGATGCTCTTGCGCATCCTGGGCGAGGGTAGTTACCCGGTACCCTCGAATGTGTCATTCTGTCTGGCTGGCGGAGGGTCTCCTGTTCTCGAGGGGTGCTCTTCGCGGCACTGGAGCGGCAAGATATCGCTGCAAAACGCAGGGGCCGCGCCGCACCCAGGCACGCCCCCCACGCGCCAGCAGGCGGGGAGAGGTGAAGACGCCGAGCCACGAGCTCCCCGCGGACAATCCCGGATTTTTTTTTGCGTCGGGGAAACGCAAAGGCTCGAGTTCGCCGGAGCTCGGGTTATGTCGGGCCTGTCCCTCAATAGGGGCAGCAGTCAAAACTTATCCAACAAAAAAATCAGGGGACGATTTTGTAAGTTTTGTGCATTTTTGGGGTACGTTTTGGGTATTTTTTAATTTTCATCGAAATCCGCCTGTAGGGGGACACGCTCGACCTCAAGCTCGGGTTTGCCAACACCTTTTTCAAGAGGAAAAGAAACACACACAGACACAATTAATCCTCGATTCCCAGGAAAATATGGGAAAATATGGGAAGTGGGGGGGACGACAAAAACCCAGAAAATATGGAAAAATATGGGGAATCCTTTTATTTGTGTGTATTTATTTGTGTGTCCCAGGGCCCCTTCACTTTTGATGGCCCGTCAAGAGTTTCGACAGTCCAGTTTTCGTGGGATGTCTGCAGCCGGAGGTCGCGTCGAATTTCAGGTTGGGTCTCGTCGTTTTTCGAACGGCCTCGTCAGGCCAACCCGAGTCCCCCGAACCCGAGCCGTCCATCTCCCCGAACGTGTATGGAGGTGGAGAGAGTGAGAGAGAGAGAGAGAGATGTGGAGAGAGTCATAGGAGGAAAACATACCCATACCGCTACCCCTCGGCCGTTATCCCCATGTTTTGGCTTCCTGGGAGTCCCTCGTCGCCACCGCTGGATTCGCTTCGAAATTCTGGTCAGAATGCGCTCAGGGAGAGGTGCGGGGAGTAGGGAGATAGGTGCCTATTGGTTTCCGAAGAGAGCGAGAGAGAGAGAGAGATAACAAACAAAAATAACAAGAGAAAGAGAGAAAGAGAGAAGGAGAGAAAGAGAGAAAGAGAGAGAGAGAGAGAGCGAGAGAGAAAACGAGAGAGAGAGAGAGAGAGCGAAAAGTGAGAAAGAGAAAGAGAGGGAACAAATAATAAACAAACAAATAAAGAGTGTGAGAGAGGGAGAGGGAGGTGACAAGAGAGAGAGAGAGATAACAAACTAAGCAGAGAGATGTTACGCCGAAGCAGCTGACATTGCACACACACACACACACACCGTGTGTGCAAAACGCACCTCTCGTAGTTTTTGCTGCCAGGTTTCATTGTGGATCGCCGTCTGCTGGGGGAGGGACCATTCGGACGTTCCATGGGTCCGTGGTCTCGGGGAAGTATGAAACCCCCACCGTGCCTGAACGCCCCACGGGAGGGGGTGTGGGCGGATTGCGGTTCTGAGCTGGACACCTCGGACGATAAAAAGAAGTCTCTGGAGAAGCATATCTCCGACACCGAGGCTGGCATCGCATCGACCGAGGAGGCCATCGCCACGGCCACCCAGGACATCGCAGAGTTGACAGCAACCATCAAAGCTCTCGACGCGCAGGTGATGGCTGCGACGGAGCAGCGGAAGGAGGAGAACGCTGATTCCTGGGCTTACGCCTCACCGCCGACCCCATGGGAGGCTCCTGGTGGGTCTCTCGAGGGCCTCGTGGCAGCACTTTTGAAGCCTTCGGGGGGCCGTTTGGGGGCCTCTTTTGGGCCTCTGGTGGGCCTCTTGGGGGCTTCTTGGGGCCTCCTGGAGGCTTCTTGGGGCCGGGGGCTCGAAATTTCCGTTCGGGTCCCCCGCCTGGGCCCCCTCCTGGAGCCGTCTTGGGGGCTTCTTGGGCCGTCTACAGGCCGTCTCGGAGCCTTCTTTGGGGTGTCCTGGGCCGTCTTGGGGCGATCTTGAGGCCTCTTGGGCCGTCTTGGGTGTTGTGAAAATCCAAAAGGTGAATGTGGTAAAATCCTACGTTTCTTTCAGGGAACGAGACGATTTTTGCTTTTGGGGGCCCTCTTGGGACGCCTCCTGGGGGCCGTCTCGGGGGCCTCTTGGGCCATCTGGGTGCCATCTTGGGCGTCTTGGAACAATCCATCGGCGACTCGGGGCCCTCTTGGAGCATCTTGTGGGCCTCTTGGGGCCCTCATGGCGCGTCATGAGGCTCGTGGTGCGTTCAGCCGGGGCCGGCCGGACCCCGCCCCCTCTCCAAACCGACCGGACCAGGCCCTTTGGGGAAGGGCTTTGGGAGGGGGAAGCATCTCACACGCCGATGACCCCAAGGGGTCGGCGTATTACAAGCAGTTGATGGCCGACGACACTGCAGCAAAAGAGCTGCTGAAGCTTGCACTGAACCGTCTCAACAAATCCAAAGGGCTTCGCCCTCTTCCGCTGCCCCCTTCGCCAGTGTACTCGTGGCTTGGAAGACACTAGCTTGGAAGCGTCTGTGGCAGTACTGGCGCTTCGTGGTGCTATGTTGGGGCATCCTTGTGGCTATGCTGGGCCTATGTTGGGTATCTTGAGACCACCTTTTGCCACCGCGTTCTGGGTGCGCGGCAGCTCCTTGCCCGACTTGGGTGGAGGGAGAGAGGAGCAGGGGAGAGGGAGAGGCAGGCGGATTGATGACCAGGGGATGACTGGGACGGCAAGAGGCAGGGAGGGGAGCCTGAGGAGGGAGACGGACTGGCAGGAAGGAGGGAGACGGATTTTTCGGAGCCGTTTGGAAGAAGCCTGGCAATACGGGAGCATCTTGAGACCATGGCCATCTTCGGCATTCGGGGCCGTCTGGAGCAATCTTCGGGGGCGGCCAAGTGGGGGTTGATGACTAAGGGGGGGTGTATATCATGGCGTGTGCCATGATATTTCCCTACATCTCATGGCGCCTCTTCTCATTTCATCACGCCCCTGGCCCCCCCTTGGGCCGCGCACATGCCGCCGGCCATGATTTGACCCCTCCCCCTGATGGACGCCCCCCCTCTTGGCCGCCCCCGAAATCTCTGGGGCCACCTCGTGGCTTCTGGTGGCTGTCTTGGACGCCGTCTTGGGCTCTATTTGCTTGGGGCGAGGCAGGCTGCAGGCGACACACGGAGCAGCTTCACACACACACACACACACGCACGCACACACACACGCACGCACGCACGCACGCACGCACGCACACACACACACACACACACACGCACGCACGCACGCACGCACGCACGCACGCACGCACGCACGCACGCACGCACGCACGCACGCACGCACGCACGCACGCACGCACGCACGCACGCACGCACGCACGGACGCACACACACACACACACACACACACACACACACACGCACACGCACACGCACACGCACACGCACACGCACACGCACACACACACACACACCCACGCGCACGCACGCACGCACGCACGCACGCACGCACGCACGCACGCACACACGCACGCACACACACACACACACACACACACACACACACACGCGCGCATACACACACACACACACATGTTAAGGAATAGATGACACTTGGGGGGGCGCGAAAGGCAATGTCGGATGCCCTCCCGAGCGCCTCGGATGCCGTATCGGGTGATCTCGGGGCAGCTCCGCAGCATCGTTGGACACCTCGTGGGGCGCTCTCGACACACGCACGGGCTCCCGCGCACGCTTCAATCGTCGCGGCTGAGGCGCGCAGCGGCGCGGCGCCGCAGGTCAAGGCATGCGGGCGCGCGCGGGCCTGATTCACAAGCTCGCACATTGCGAAAGCGTACTCCCGGGAGGCAGCCATCCGCCCTCGGGTAGTGCTGCTTGGGAGCATTGCGCGTCGTAGTCTGCGTTGGGGGCAGAAGGCGGCTGCAGGTCCCCTTGCGAGTCATTGGTGGATCGCATGTCGGTTAGCTCTCCCATGCGGATTCTCTCCCCCAATCTCGGCAACTGGAGCATATCCATTACCAGTGGCGGGTTGCTTTTCGATCCCCTGGACTTTTTGAGGGTCGGGGACGACGTCGGGGTGGTGTGGTGCATAGTGTATACTTGTTTCCCCGTTTTTCCCGGGGAAACAATGAAACATACATAAACCAGGATCCCGTATACACCAGGATCCGTTTTCTTGTGCGAATTTCAGCGAGTGGCCGGACAAAGCGTCGGTGTATATATATAGAGTTCGGCTCCGTACAATCCCCGAGTCCCCCATAAGAGAAATTGGCCGCTCAGAAAAGAAAACACATCACGGATACAACCCGGGGTGGGGCTACTCGGACGCACCAACATCGAGCATGGACGCCGCCGCATCGTGTTCCCGAGTTGGGCCTCATATTTGCTGTCCAGCCGGAACTCCCACTAGTCGAGGATTGGAGTACCGATCCCCACTGTATGTTGCGAACAAGTGCATAATATTTTTACGGTGGCCCTTTTGCAGGAAGCATTCGTACACATAAGCATGGAGGCCAGCGGAAAGCAGTCAACCGTGTCCGGATTGTCGGGGACGACCTTTCGGGGGAACGCGCCGATTTCGGGTAGATGTGTGGCCTTGGAGGGGCCAGAAATCTCGAGCTACCTGCTCTCCCGTCGCCCACGTTGAGCATCAATTGCCACGAGAATGTGCTGCGGGAGCGCCTTGTCATGCCGCATGTCATGCGATGGCTTGGTCGTCCCCACGGTGGGGACCAGCTTATTCTACAACCCGAAGCTCTATGTGCCTCCCGCGAAGGTGGAGCGCAGCGCGATGGACGCGATCTCCGAGGACATGGCGCTTGCACAAGTCGCGCGCCACGGGCAGAAGGCTGCTCCGCCGCCTCCCCCCGAGACGTTCGGAGCCTACGCCAAGAAGACCGAGGAGCACGGCGGGGTGGTCCAGATGATCGGTCTGCTCGTCGCCGACTTGGACAAGGAGATGACAGAGGCTGCTCGCTGACATCCCCCTACACACTACTACACCTGTCTATATCAGGCAATCACAAGCGCATCGTTTAAACATATCGTATGTCTGGCTCGCACGATTGCTATGCCACCCAAGTCAAAGTGCGTTAATGCTCCTCTCGGTCCTGTCCCTCGGAGTATTTTGTTTCAGTGTGCCCGAGGCGGAGACCCAGGAGAAGGACTCGCAGGCCGACTACGAGGCCCTAATGAAGGAGTCGGCGGAAAAGCGCGCGTCGGACTCCAAGAGCCTGTCCGACAAGCAGGCCGCCAAGGCTGACCTCGAGGGCGAGCTGGAGAAGCTCAAGGGCACGCTGCGAGAGGGGAAGGCGGACCTGGCCGCCACCCTGAAGTACATCCACGATCTTCACATGGAGTGCGATTGGCTGCTGAAGCGCCCCTGGCTGCTGGAACCGCAGGGATGGCGGGATTCGTTCAGCCTCCCACCTGTTTGCCTCCTCCCATCCGGCGCATTCCCAGCACCTTCCGAGGGCACCGCGATTTTCCTGGGGCGTCCTGGCCCAGGACGCTTAAGGGGTCCATCAGACTCCAGGGGACGGTGGCCATCGGAGCGTTCTGGGCTCGCTCTAGATCTCCTGGAGCCCGCTGCTGCTGCTGCCTGGGGCCTCCTGTCCGAGTCTCGGCGCCTCGTGAGGAACCCTGCGGTCTCTGGCGGCCCCTCAGGTACTACGACGTGCGCAAGGAGATGCGCGCCAGCGAGGTCGACGCCCTCGGCAAGGCCCGCGCGGTCCTGAGCGGGGCGGACTACTCCCTCTGAGCCCCCTCCCCCAGGCTCCGGGCGCGGAGGCGCTGCCGCTGCAGGAGCACCGCCCGGGTGCCAGCGCGGGTGCCGCCGCGCCGCTCGGCGAAAAGGGTGCCCTTCAGGCACCGCCTGGCATCGCTCGGACGTGTGCATGTTTTTTCTCGGCGAGAACCATCCAGGACCTTCCTGGACCATCGAGCAAAAAAAACACGCACGAAACCGACAAATGCACGGGAAATGTCCGTCCGAGCGACGGCAAGACCGTCACTCACAGTCAGGAGCTATGGCTCAGCGTGCCGCTCCGCTGGTTCTTGCCCACCACGCGTCGGCTCGACAGGCTAATTACGCACGCCCCGGGTCCCGAGCGTCAGCTTCCCGCGCTGTTCCCGGTCTCCCGCCCCGCCGAGCGGAGCGACACGCCATCCGCTTGCAATGCACAGCGTGTCGTCGGGGCAGCTGCCGCGACACGCTAAGCGAGCACTCCCGACCTTAGTTGTTTGGTTTTTGGACCTTCCTGCTGCCCACCTGAAGGATCTGTTCAACTCCAGTTCGGGTCTATTTCGAGCGAATTTCGGGTCTAGCTCGACTCAACTTCGACTCACATTCGACTCGAGCTCGACGCACGTCGACGGACGTTCGACGCAGCATCGACGCACGAGTGGAGTATGTTTCTCCAAGGAGCTTCCCAGAAATTACCATGAAATTTAACCACGATCGGGGACCGCCTCCACCGGAAGATGCCCCTCGCGATCTCGTCGGCGGTGTTGATGGAGAGGTTTGATCTCCAGCACCGTGCTGAGTTCACGCCTGTTGTATTGCACTGTGTTGCGCTGTGTTGTTTTGCATTGCGTTGCACGGGGCTTCCATTGTCGATTGCGGTACCTTGCCTTGTATTGCAAAGCAGTTCAACGCATTGATATTCAATGCACCGCGAAAGTACACCCTAAGTAACGGCACGCAGAGCAAGGCATCGCAAGTCAATCAAATCAGAAAAAAGGGCAATGGAGCGCAGTGCTACTGCACTACACAGGTTTGCAAGGTCCGGCAAGTCACAGCGACGCGAGCAAAACACAGTAGCAACATCTAAAGACGCTCAGTGTACCTTGTCCGCGGGGATTTCTCATTCATCAGAAGATCACCATCTCATCGGGGCCGTAGCTGGCGTGTTGTCTCGGCTACGTCAATAGCCTGTCCGTTCTACGGTCTCTTCTCTATGCTCCCGCCCAGTTGGTTGTCTGTCCCTCATCTTTGACCCTCTGTCTGGCAGCCTGACTCGCCGATTCGGTGTACCTCCAATCTCAAGGACAGCTCATCTCAGCTCGCACTTTGCTTTGCCTGCTGGGACTCCGACGTAATCATCCAACGCTCGGCCCTCCACGTGGAGAGAGAGAAAGCCGAAGACAACCGAGCCGGCGCCATGGCGGCGCAGGGCAACGGCGTGCCAGACGCGGCAGGGGCACACCTCGACGGCGGCGCCGGCGCTGCTTGCCGGGATGGCCGCTGCGCGCTGCTGGAGCGGCTGCAGCGCGAGTGGGAGCAGCTGGCCAGGGTGCCGCAGGCCAGGATGCGACTCCTGGGAGGTTCCATTCAGCATCGACGCCGATAGATCCGAGGTCGTCAGCTGGTCCAATCCGGCACAGCTCCGCGGAATCCTTTTTCATCCTGCTTGATCCGGCTGGCTTCGTCCGAATCCTGAACTTTACCTGTCGCAATCCGGCCCGTCGCCCCTCCATCGGACTTGTGGTGGCTTCTGATCGTTCGCGCGAAGGCCTCCCAGCGGTTGCCTCTCAAAGCAGGGCGCCGGGCGCGGCGGAGAGGCCTGGGAGGCGATGGCCGCCCGGGCGCGCGAGGTGGCGGCGGGCCCCGCCAGCCACCCGGAGCGCGACGTCAGGCTCTGGGCCGCGAGGTGCCTGGCCGAGGTGCTGCGCATCTTCGCCCCAGAGCCCCCGCTGGGCCCCGCCGCGCTGCGGGGTGCCCTGGAGCTGTTCGTGGACCAGCTGGCGCTCCTGGAGGAGTTGCGGCGGCGCGCAAGTCTTTGGTCAAAGGGGCGGGCAGCGGCACACAGTGGGGACGCGTGCCAAGAAACCAGTTGGATTTTGCCAGGGCGCCCTGGGTTTGTTGGATTTCGATGGGCCCCCAATAAGATCTTGACGATGTTCGCTTGACACATTTGGGTTTTCACTGAACAAGTCGCGGATTTCAGGGTTGGGTTTCTTGGGGAGATCTCTTGTGGCCGAGCCACCACTGTAAGCATGAATTTTCGGAGTCCCCCAGAACCGTAAAAGATCGCACCGCGCGCTCCGCCACCGGTTCGAGACGTCCTCGGAGCACGACCTCGGGGAACGATTGGAGGTGTAATTAAACATGAGCATTCGGAGGCTCGCGCGGATTTCTTGGATCGGCGTTGAGCCCCCCCTGAGGGCGCCTTCGGCGCTTCCCCTGGCGCGCTCCGCGCACAGGGAGGGTGGTCCAGTGCCGATCCAAAAAAATCCGCGCGGACCGCAAAACATTTATGCTCATGCCGCTTGTGCCTCCCTCTACTTCAGCATCGCCTCATCGCGGGACCGATGCCGCCGATGCCGATCCCAAACCGGGCCATGGTGTCTCCACCTGCCCATGCCCCCAGGTGCGGGGACGGGCCTGCGTGTATCCGCACCTGTAGAAGGCCAAGTCGGCCAGTGGGGCTGCGAGCATGCCGGTGGGGAGGGGGGATCGCCGCAGCGATGCTGAAGCCTGGGCGGGGCGAGGGCGCGGGTGCCCCTTCCGGCAGGCAGGGGTGGCTGCCTCTGGCAGACGGCGGGGCTGGCCTCTGCCAGGGGCAGCCCCCCCGGCGCCACACCCATGCCTGACATCCGCCGATCTGTTTTGTCTGTTAAGACTGAAGTCAGGCCTGTCCCTCTGCAGGGGGGATCTTCCAAAATAGTCAAAAATAATACGGGGGCGACTTTTTGACTTTTTTTTTGATCAGTTTGGAGCATTGTTGGAGTATTTTTTTCGTCCAAAATTCCCCTGCAGGGGGACACGCCCGACTTAAACTTAGACCCGCGGCCCCAAAGGGCACCCGGCCCTTCCCCCAGGGGCGCGGCGGGGGCGTTCGTTGAGGAGTGTGCCGCGGAGGCTTCAGACCCTGGTTTGTTCCTTATCTGATGGCAGCGGCGGTGAAATCCATGGCCAAGCCTCAGATCGTCGGAGGTCTCGGTCTGGCCAGCCACACCCATTCCTGGTTCCCCGACGCCATTCTTCTTTCTAGCGACCTGGACCCCCGGAGGTCTCGACCGATTCTTTGTTCTTAGTTTTCCATCCCGAGCTGTTTTTTTGACGGTCCCAGGGCCCAGTACAAGGACCACTAGGAACCGAAAATGGCTTAACATATTCCGTTGCGATCCTGTCACGACTTCTCGACCTGAACTTTCCGCGCTGCCGCGATGTGTCCGCGATGGCCGCCGCGGCCTCGACGGTGGCCGTTGCTGCGGCCACGGCGGCGGCCGCGGCAGCGCGGCACCTGCCGCGCGGACGGTGCGGAAGGTGCAGGTCGAGGGTGGTCTTTTCACGACGCGAGGGGGTCCGGATTCGGCGCGACAGGTTACCAGGTGCGGGCAACATGTTTATCCATATCCACTGCATCTTGGAGTACCAGACACCGGGGGCGCAGTGGATGTGGATAAAGATCCGGCCCCTAGAGCCTAAAGGCTAGGCTTATTATCCGTATCCACTGCGCCTCGGCCATCTGGCGCCCCTTTCCAGAAAGTCCAAGACACAGTGGATGTGCGTATACATCTTGTCTGCAACAGGAGCCGCTGGACACGCCGCTGCACGTCCACGCCGTTGGCCTCCTGGAGCGCCTGGCGGAGCTCCGGGCCCTGGTGCTGCTCTTCGACTGCGAGAGCCCAGAGGCTCGGGGGCTCCCAAAACGAAGTGGTGACCACACCGCATTGTGAGTCGGCGTGGATTCGGGGTCACCGCACTGTTGGGAGTCGGGTCGTCGGGGGACGAATCACGGCATAAACATGACCGCCGGTCGTTGAAACTTGATATTTTTGATCCAGATGCAAATCTACTTCAAGCGCGTTCCTGCTTCAAGAATCGATACGCCTTTTCGGTGTTTTGTCATTCTCTGGGAGGGCCTGAACCCCATCTACTTCATCCGCCTTCCTACTTAATGTTTTAACCTACCTCTTCTGAACGACATATGAACTTTCGGAGGTCCGCGTGGAGTTCATGGATCGGCACTGGACGCCCCTCCCTGGCGCGCGGAGCGCGCCAGGGGAGCGCCGCCACGGGGTTCCAACGCCGATCCAAGAAATCCGCGCGAGCCTCCGAAAGCTAATGTTTATGCCACTAGTTGTTCCCCGCGGTCATGCTCCGAGGACGTCTCGGACGACCGGTGACGAAGCGTGCGGTGAGATCTTTTAGGGTTCCCAGGGGCAGCGATAGGAGGAGATAGGCACAGGGGGGATGCATCAACCTCGATGGTTGATATATCGAAGATGCATCGTTGATATCAGGGCGATGCATCGACGATGCATCGACGATTCACGGGGCTGTCTGCGTCGACGTCGTATTGACACCTGGGCAATGCATCGACCATTCGAGAACGATGAATCCCTCCCCTGAGCCCATCCCTCGGCTGCGAGCGAGGGTGGGAAATGAGAAGGAGAAGGCCTTCTCAGAAGAAGGCGGGGCTTCCCAGAAGGCCTCCGGCCTTCTGAGAGGCTTTCTGCGTCTTCGGGCAAGGCTCTAAACACTTCTCGGAAGGCCCAGGGACTTCCGGGCCTTCTGAGAAGGCCCGCCCCGTCTCGCTTCCCCCCCGGATTTGTCGGCAGATCCCCCCGCAATCGTTACCCCTCGTACCTCGAGGTCCCCGCGCGGTCCGTCCTCCTCCTCTTCCTCCTTGTGGTCTTACTCCTCTTCCTCCTCCTCATCCTCGTCCTCCTCCTCCTCCTCCTCTTCCTCGCTCCTCCTCCTCCTCCTCCTCCTCCTCCTCCTCCTCCTCCTCCTCCTCCTCCTCCTCACCGCACGGCCTTGGGGCCCCGCGCAGGCGCTGCTGGACGCGCTCGTGGCCGCCGCTCTGCGGGCCGCCACTGGCGCGGGCGCCCGCCACCTGTCCGCCGCGCTGTCCGAGCTCGTGGCCGCGCCGCTCCGTGAGGCGCGGGGGCGGCGCCAGTCGATGATCCCCGGGCTGAGCGGCCCTGCAGTCGACCCGCATCTCGGGGGCGGCCGAGGGGGGGGTGATGACTAGGGGGGGGGGGGATAGCATGGCGGGGGCCATGATATTTCCTCAGATTTCACGGCGTCCCTTCCTCTTTCATTACGTCCCTGGCCCCCCTGCTGGGCCGCGCACATGCCGCCGGTCATGATTTGCCCCCCTCCCCTCTTGGACACCCCCCTCAGGACCGCTCCCGAATGGCAAGAATGGGCAACCGTCCCAACGGTGCCCTTGCGTCTTTGCGCCCTCGGTACATCCTTGGCGACTTTCGTTGGCCGCGCCCCGCCCGAAAGGCTTCGAGATGGCCTTCCAGGGCCCTCGCATCCTTTTCGTGCGTCCTTGTGATACGTGTTGATTGTATGGTACGCCCGTTTTGAAACGCAGCACGTACCGTGTTCAAAGCATCCGTGTTACTACGCCGCGTGTTGGCCCGGCACAGTTGTTGGCCCCACGTTTTGGCGGGCGTGTCGCGCCCAACGTACGCTTCCAATCTACGTGCTGAGCTCCGCGTCAACACGCCACGGGTTGCGTGTTGCGTATCGGGGTTGCTAAGTCCCCAGGACGCGCACCGGTGCTGGCGCGCAGGAAGGGGGGCGAGGTTCGAGGTTCTGCGTTCGAGGAGCGCGGTTTTTGTTTTTTTTCCATTGTGAGAAACGGACCGGGGGTGAAAAACTGCACCAGATGGACCCCGGGGTGGGGTCGGGGACGGATGTTCAGCGGATCTGCCCCTGCCGCCCTGTCTTGACTGGTTTTCCCGGGGCCCATTCAGCTCAGACCCCCCAGCTGCCTCAGCTTCTAGGCGCACCAGATGAGATCCGAGCAGATGAGGTCGGAGAATCGCGTTGTACCGCCGATGCGTCGGCGATGCGGCTCGATGTGAAGCGCGCGTTTCTCCACGCCAACGTCGCGATGCATCGCCGATGTCGACGATGCACCGCCAGTGTATCGGCGACGCGTCGCCGATGCATCGGCGATGCGGCGCGATCCTCCGACCCCGTCTACTTCGACCCACTCTAGGAGGCCCCTAGTGTTGGCCCACTGTGCGTTTACCCAGTTCAGCTCCGCCGATAGCACGCAGCCCGTGTTGGCCCTCATTCACTGCGCCGCCTGCGTCGCAATAGAGGGCTTCGAGGGGCAAGCACACGTCTGGGCTAACACACGTTCTGAGGATCATCGAGTTAGGGGGATCATCGAGGCCAGGGACAACGTTCGGGGGGAAGCTTCGGGCTCGAGGTGCGCCGAGAGGGTCGACTCGAGCGTTGTCGTCGGTGCGCGGCGGCTTGCTGGCCTGCACTAGCACTAAACAGCGCAGTTTCCCATTCAACTATTCGGAAGTATGGGAAACGGATGGGAAGCGGAACCTCCGGGACATATGCGAAATTAATGCGGAATCTTGAGAATTGTGTCGATGCCTTTGTGTCCCCCTTGGCCCCTCGAGTCAATGCGTTCCCCCCACTCTGAGCCAGAGTCCCCCTCTCTTTTAATTGTGGAGGACGATCTATGGAGAGGAAGCATGCTGCCAAATAATTCCCAGATGTCTACAACATGTGTTAGACATGGTTTAAACATGTTTAAAACATGTTTAGAACATGTTCCGACATGTTAAACACATCTTAAGTTCAATGATATGATTGTTAGGGTGTCCATTGTCGTGGCATCCACAATCTGATGGCCCACCCTCGGAGGCGGACGAGCTCCCGCGGGGGTGCCAGGCGCTGCTGATCGAGGCTCACGGCGGAGGAGCAGAGCTCGCGACGACGGCGACTACGACGACAACGACGACGACGACGACGACGGTCGTCGTCGCCGCTGCCGCTGCCACAGTCGCCGACGCGAGGGAACGGCGCGGCGGACAGGTCGGGCCCGGCGCCGGGGGCTTTGGTCGTTTGTTCATGAGCGTGTCCAGGAGTCCTCAGATCCTGCGGGATTCCTTACCCTCATCTGCTCAGGGCGGAAGCCATATCCACATGGCCAAACCAAGATCGGAGTTCCACTGGTTTCCAGGCCCTGGGTTCTTTCCTTCGATAGTTTCCTGATCACTGCCCCCACCGTGGTTGGATCAGACGTTTGCGTCGGCGTTCGGCACGCTCCCAGCCTCGAGGTCGGCTTTTCCCGGCGGCTGCGCCTCGCCGCTCGTCGCGAGAGCGTTCCGCGGAGAGGCTGGGATCCTTCCGAGTACGGCCTCCGGCGCTCGAGTTGTGCCCCGATTGGCTTTTCGTCAGGGTGGTCCTGCGCCGGAGTAACCTTCAGTGCGGCCCCGCAGTGATCCCGCAGCTCTGGCCCGCGCGGTTAGGTGTGGGCCTCCCGCGGCCCCCTAAGGCCGCGCACGAAAGGGTACCCTAAAGGTAAGTCGGGCGTGTCCCTCCATTGGAGGAACATTCTAAAATAGTAAACAAATGATATGGGGACGATTTTGTTCTACTATTTTGGCCCATTCGGGGGGCATGTTTGTGAGTATTCTACACTTTTCGCCCAAAATCCCCCTGCAGGGGGACGCGCCCGACTTCACCCTGAAGCCTGAGGTGGCCCGCCCCGAAGGCCAGAACCGCCGCGAGGAGGCCCGCCGATGCCCCGATGCCATTCCCTCGGCTTCGCCTTCCCGAGGGCTCCCTGGGTGGCCCTCGTCGTCGCCGCGCGCTCTGGGATGGTGCCCCTCGATGTTCGCTGGTGGGGACCTTTCTGGGGCCCGCCAGACGGGTATGTTCGACTCCGCTTCGATTCAGGTTCGACTGTAGCTCGACTCGGGTTCGACTCCAGATCCGCTCGAGTCGACGGACGTCGACGCGGCATCGACGCATGAGTGCAGCGAGTAGCTCCAGAAAAGGGTCCCCAGAACGAGCGCCTGGATGCCAGCGGAGTGGCGGCGTGGGCACGTTTCTGCTCCTCTCCCCGAGAGGCCTTGGCTCCCGCGGGCGGCCCCGGCGCACGAGACTGCGCCCGGGACGTGGCGCGCCGCGTCCTTGGGAGCCTCGGGAGCACCGCGGTGGCCGCCCAGGTCAACGCCTACCTCATCGACGAGCTGCACGGGCCGGCGCAGGCGCCCGCCGACGCCGGCAGCCTGCTCGGCTCGGCCTGCGAGCTCTTCGTGATCGAGCCCGCCTTCGTGGTGCGCCTGCTGCCTCACCTGCAGGAGGACCTGCAGTGCGCCGACGGGGCGCGGCGCCGCGCCGCGACCCAGGCGGCGGGCAGGATGTTGTCCAGCGCCGCGGTCGTCGAGGGCCCGGCGGGGCAGCGATCGCCGCTGCTGGAGGCGTACCCGTTGCTGCTCGACAGGTACCTGGAGCGCTACGTGGACGTAGACGACGGGGTGCGCGCCGCGGCTCTCGAGGGTGCGGGTGCGATCCTCGCTGCCGCCGCGGCCAGCGGCCAGAGCTGCGAGGGCGCCGACGGCCAGTGGGGCGTCGCACTCGCGAGCGCCGCCGCGAAGGTCCGCGACGAGCTCATCGGCCGCTGCCTTGACCCATGCCTCGCGGTGCGGCTGCGCGTGGTGGAGCTGGCCGCCGAAGCCGCCGGTTTGCCAGGCGGCCTGGAGCTCATGGGGCCCGCCGCACCTGCGATATTCCGGCGCGTGTTCGACAAGAAGCCCCTCGTGCGCGAAGCCTGCATCGAGGCGGTGGGCGAGCTGTACATGGAACGCGGGCTGCCCGCCTGGGTTCGCGGCCGCCCGAGTGAGGCCGCCAGGGTCCTGTGGGCGCCGCAGCTGCTGTGCGAGGCTTTCCTCGCGCTTGCGGGCGGGCGGCTGGGCCAGACAGCACAGCTGGAGGAGTTCTACAGAAGGCATCTAAACGCAACCACCAAGCATGGCCATGGCCATCCTTGACCCTATGTTAAGATGGTGCGTGGACGGTATAGACTCGATCACTGACCTCGGGTTGGGAGGGACCCAGGATGGCTGTTGCCAGGCACTGTGGTGGTGTATAGATGTCTTCTGCGAAGGAGTGCCTCGAGCGGTGCGTGCTCGGCTGCGCGGGCGGTCTCGACGCGCACGGGCGCGCTCAGGCCATTCTCGGCCTCTGTGCGGCGGCGGCCGGCAGCGAGGACGCCGCAAGGGGCCTCGAGTTGCTGCTCGCGCGTAAGCGCCAGGCGCGGGTCCGCCTGCAGCAGTTCGTGGCGCTCCGCGTCCAGAAGGGCGCGCCATTGCTCTCGCAGCCTGCCCTGCCACCAGCGCCGCTGCTGCTGGCGCTTCCCAGCCCCCCTGGGCCCTCTGAGGCTCGCCCAGGCAGCCCGCTGGTCACAGTGGCAACCATTGGCTCCCAGTTGGCGCTCTCGGATGGTGCGGCGGCGGAGGACGCCGAGAACCCCAGTCCTGCGCACCCCGCCTCGGAGGCGGCTGCCGCCCTGGCACGTCTGGCACCCGCGGCGGAGGCGCGGGGCGCCGCGAGGGGCGAGGCGGTGGAGGCGCAGCTGCGCGCCCTCGATGCGGTGCGGGACCGGGCGCTGTGGGCGCAGCTGGACCTGCTGCTCAAGGGCAGCGATGCAGGTGGCCAGCCCATCATCACGTCGGAGTTGCCCCAGCTTCTGAATGAGCTCGGACGGTTGCTGCGCGTCCACGGCTTGACGGAGCTGGAGCCGCTGCTGCGGCGGGGGCTGGCTGCGACGTGGCTGCTGCCGGACCAGGTGCACGCCCTCATGGACTCCTGGCGGCTCGAAGGCGGCGCGCCCCGCGCTGTGCAGTGGGCCGTCGCCCACCTGCCCAAGCACTTCCCAGCGGAGTTCGCCCCTCACGTCGACGCGCTCGTGGCGCGGCTGGCGGTGGGCTCCACCGACGACTCGAGGGCAGCGGTGAAGGGGCTTGCCGCGCTGGGCAGGCTGAGGAGGAGCACCGACGGCGATGCCTCCTCCGCAGGCGTCGCCATCTGCGGCAGCCGGCTGGCTGATGCGCTTCTCGCCACTGCGGCATTCTCCGATGCCGCGCTGGCGGCCAGCGAGCCAGTGCACCGAGAGGCAGTTGAGGCGTTGGGCCTTGCGGAGCGAGGAAGTGAGCCGGCGGCCCTGCAGAAGATCTTCCAGTGGGCCCAACACAGATTGGCCGACGAGACCTGCCCCACCGCGATCGCGTGTGGCCTGCATGCCGCTGCCGCTTGCCTCGAGAGCTCGGCGGCCGCCGCGGCTGCCGAGGGCGCAGTATGGCGCGAGCGGGCTGAGGCCGTGCTGAAGCGGGGCCCGCAGCGCGAGGGTTGCGAGCTCGCTTGTGCCGCTGCCGCAAGCGTGTTGGCGGTCCTGGGGGCTGGCGGGCCACTGGCTGGGCTGCTCGCCGGAGATGGCGGTCACGCGCAGGCGGTCCAGGCCCAAGCAGGGAGGGCGGCGCTGGGCGCGGTGGGCAGGGGTCTCCTCGAGCTGTCCACGGAGCTTCTCACCGGGCTGGCCTCGCTCGCCTGCGGCGCCGCGCGGGCCGGGGGCAGGGACGCGGCAGCTCTGCTCGCGTCGCTGCAGCTCGCCCTGGGCTCGCCAAGCTCTCGTGCGCGGCTGCCGAGCCGTATCCGTCTCTCGGTGACTCTGCCGGCCATGCTGGCTCTGGCGGAGGGTAAGACTGGCGAGGGAGCGCTGCAGACGCTGCAGGCGGCCGTGGCGTCCATCCTGAGGCAGTGCGCCTCGCGCGGCGAGCCCTTGCTCGACTTCGCGATCGCCTACTTCGTGCACTTCCTGTCCCGCCTCCCAGCCTTTGTCTCGGAGTCGGAGGCGCCTGCGTCCGCGTTCCCGGAGAGCTCGCGCGTGGCGGGCCTCTTCGTGCAGGCGGCCACGCGCGGCGGCGCGGGCCTCGGCGTCGACGTCGCGGCGGCCGCGCTGCAGGCGCTGGACTCGTTCCACTGCCTGGCCGACCGGGAGCGCCCCGCCTCGGACGCCGTGCACAGAGCAGCGGCGGTCCTGCGCCACGCCGTGGAGCGGGGCGCCCCGCGCCCCCGCGCGCAGGCCCCGGCCCCCGCAGCTGCGCCGCGGGCCGCCTCTGCGCCCGCGGAGCTCTTCGTGGTGAGGCCGCCGACGCCGCGGCCCCTCGCCCTCGCGGCGCTCCCGCCGCCCGGCGCGGGCGCCGAGGCCGAGCACTGCCCGCCCGCGCCACCGCAGCCGCCCGCTGCGGCCGAGCCGCCCCGAGCACCAAGCGACCGCTGCGCCGAGGCGCCCCCGGCGGCGGCGGAGGCGGCGAGCGCCGCGCGCCCCCTGCCGCCGCGCAGCCTCCTCTCCGGGGCGCGCGCGGCACCGCAGGGCGCAGGGCTGCCCGGCGGCGCGCAGGGGGGCCGCGGCTGCTTCGCTGGGCTGTTCCGGGGGCTCGCGGAGGCGCGCCGCCGCCCGGCTGCGCAGGCTGCAGGGGCAAGCTCACAGGATGCTCGTTTCCGGGACCCTCCTCGGAAGAAGAGGACACGGCATAAGCATTAAGTCGGGTCTGTCTCTCTACAGGTGGCATATTCAAAAACAGTCAAAAAGTAATATGGGGACTATTTTTCGAGTATTGTTTGATCATTTGGGTGCATTTTTTGATCATTTTCTACGTATCGTTCGTCCAAAATCCCTCTGTGGGAGGACAGGCCCGACTTAACACAAGCAGAAACTTTCGGAGCTCCGATCGGGTTCTTGGATCGGCGCTGGGGCCCCACGGGCGGCGCCTCCAGCACCGCTCCTGGCGTGCTCCGCGCGCCAGGGAGGGGGGTCCAGCGCCGATCCAGGGATCTGAGGAGAGCTCCAAATGTGTTTCTAGGTGCTCATTCCTTTATTCCCGGGTGCCACCTACTGGATCTGTCCGGCTCTGGTCTGCGTCTAGCTCAGTTTTAGTTCGACTCAAGGTCGACTCGCAGTCGTCGAGCTTTCGATGCAGCCTCCACTAGTGACTGGAGCGAGTGGCTGCAGGGAGGTCCCCAGCCCGAGTAGCTGCAGCTCAAAGCCCCCTCTTTTGCTGCTGAGCGGGTCCTTCTAGTCCTTCTACCCACCCCCTCTCCCTCCTTCTCCTTCTCCTGCTTCTACTCCTGCAAACGTTTCTCCTCTTGCTCATCTTCCTCCTCCGCCTCCTCCTCCTCCTCCTCATCATCATCATCATCATCGTCGTCATTATCATCAGCATCATCATCATCATCATCATCATCATCGTCAGCGTCAGCGTCAGCGTCAGCATCATCATCATCATCATCATCATCATCATCATCATCATCATCATCATCATCATCATCATCATCATCATCATCACCATCATCATCATCATCAGCAGCATCAGCAGCATCAGCAGCACTCTCATCCCTTCAGGCAGCCCCTGCTGGCATCTGTCCACGCCTTCGGGGGAGGCCACGGGGGGAGGCCTCAGGGGAAGCCAAACACCCCAGAGCGGGCGTGCCCTGCAGAGGGGGCCCCAGGGCCCTGCTCGGGCCACCCAGCGGCCTCGTTTTGGCTGGCGCACGCCGTGGCACCTCACTGGGGCTGCAGTGGGCACAGCAAGCACGGAATCGGCCTGCCAGCAGGCGCCCGCCGAAAAACGTCTTACTCCCCGATGCCCCCGGGGACCCACGGAAGCTCTGGGGCACCTCGGGACCTCCAGGTATCGGCGAAGAATGCGCCCCGAGCCTTCGTATTGCACGGCTTCTCGCCGTATGTGCCCACTCCACGCCAACCTTTGGGGCATGTTTGGGCATCCCGAGGGGTATCCACCGAGGGGATGGTCATGGCGTGAGGCGCTCCAAAAAGGGCCTCGCCTGTTGGAGGGATCGAGACGGAAGGCAGCGGAAGGGCGGCTAAAGCCGGCGGATGTAAGCTCCCGACGTCATAAGGTTTGTCACGACGTGGACCCCAGAGGTCTGGGCCCATTCCCCAGGACCAGCTTTTCCTCCCGAGTCGCTTTTGACAGTCCTGGAGCCTGGCGAGGGCCCCTGGAGGCCGAGAACGGCCACAAGACTACGGTCGTGCTTTTTCCCACCGCGAGGGGGTCTGGGCTGGCGGAAGCGGGCGGAAAGTCCGCGGAGTCAGACTGAGCACGCCACGTGAGGTGGGTTCGTTGGCGAAATCCGGGTCTTACCCTCGCCGATTAACGATTCAGGCAGGTCGATGGGCCGCGGGGGTAGGGTTCGGCATTCGTCGAACACGTGGCGAAATCCGAGACCTACCCCCCGGCCTCCCACCGATTCAGGAGACCGACGGTTGGTAGCCATTGGAGAACACAGAGCCACCACCACCACCAGCCGCCCTCCCCCCCTGGACCTGGGGGCACCCCGCTGTGGGCGCGCCCGCGGAGGAGTGCCCTGAACGGAGGTACCACTGGCTCGGAGCGTGGGGTCACTTTTGAGGTTATGTGGAGTTCTGGTGGTGGTGGTGGTGCTCTTGCTGTTCTCATGCTGGGGAGGCGTACGGCTCGAGCACGCCGGAACTCGGGTTTGCCGACACCTCTTGACAAGCGCGTCCTGGATGTTGCCGGTCTAGATACCGTGGGATGTTTACAGCGGGAGTTCGCGCCCAATTTCAGATCGGGTCTCGCCATTTTCATGATGGCCCAGTCAGGCCTGGCCCCCCGAATCCGAGTGTTACGTCTCCCCGACAGGGGCAACGCAGAGGGGGGCAAGATGACAGGGGAAGGCGGGTGCCTCATCTATAGATTTCAGGCCCGCGCCGTCTAAGAAGCGGCCTCATTCTCAGAAGCCTCTCCTGCCCTCAACCTAGCCCTGTGCGCCGCCAATGGAGGGGCCATCAGTGGCAAAGAAGGGGGGGGGGGGGGATAGGCTCAGGGGAAGATCAGTGAGGCAGAGCGCGGATGCCGCCACCTATCGGGGGTGGCTTCGCGGTGCCCCGAGGCCGCCAGGGGGGCGGCGCCACCCGGGGCCGCGTCGGCCACCGCGGACGCCACGCCCCGCGCGGCGCGCCACTGCGGCCAAGGTCAGGGCACAGCCCGTCCCTCCTGGTGCTGCTGGCCGCACAGACAGTCCCTCGGCGGCGACGATAGGGGCGAATAGCCCAGGGGCGGGCAGTACACGTATTCGCCCGGAAGCCTTTTCGAAGACATAGATCATCGGCGCACTTGAATACATGTATTGCTCTCCCGTGGGCTACTCGCCCCTATTGTCGCCTCTGAGTCCCCCCCATCATGGCGCCATCATCGCAGAGCGGATTTCGGTGGGAAAACAATGGGATGGACCTGGATTGTCCTCGAGAGTTTCTTTCCGGATTTCGGAACAGAATTCGTACATATTGTGTTGGGCCTGGAACGAAGACTACGACAAATCCACGTGAAAGTCACTTAATTCTTGACGCTTCGCGTATCCCCACCAGTTTCCGCGCCCGCCCCCTTGTCGCGGCCGCAGCCCGACCGTGACCGCCTGCCGCTGGCGCTTCCGCCTGCGGCTGTAAAAAAATTATCCTGGCGAAGGACCCAACCATGTGCAGTTGTGAATATCGCATTGCGGGTGCCGCTTTCGGTGGAGCTCCCTGTGGGGCCACGAAACGCTGTGCTGGGTGGGGGTGACGCATGCGGGCGGCACCACTGGGGCCTTCGGTGGAGGTCCCTGTGGGGCCACGAAACGCTGTACTGGGCGGGGGTGACGCATGCGGGCGGCACCACTGGGGCCGTCGGTGGAGCTCCCTGTGGGGCCACGAAACGCTGTGCTGGGTGGGGGTGGCGCATGCGGGCGGCACCACTGGGGCCTTCGGTGGAGCTCCCTGTGGGGCCACGAAATGCTGTGGTGGGGTGGGGCTGACGCATGCGGGCGGCACCACTGGGGCCTTCGGTGGAGCTCCCTGTGGGGCCACGAAACGCTGTGTTTGGTGGAGGTGCCGAAGTGGGTGTGCGGGACGAATGCGAGCGGTGGCACTGGGGCCTTCGGTGGAGCTCCCTATGGGGCCACGAAGCGTGCGAAGGGTGTGCCGAAATGGGTGTGGCTGACGCATGTCCAGGTCCAGGGGAGGGGGTTAGGGGGAGGGGTAAACCCCTCCCCGAAGGGGAAGAAGGAGGGGTGGAAGAGGAAATTCCCTAAACCACCTACGCCCAGAGGGCTGGTGGGATTTTTCGCTCGCCGTTCCAGGGTTTTCAATGACATACATCAACGCAAAAATCCGCTGCAGGACGTCTGCAAGGTCGGTGCAGTGACAGGTGGTCCTGGCTGGCTTCCCCGGAGATCCTTCGGGGCGCAAGGGGCGGGGGACATTGTAAACGGGGGTCAGTCGGAGCGCCAGATCTTGCAAGATCCTGCAGCGAAGGGGTGCATTGATCCTGGCTTGCTTGCAGGCTCCTGCGAAGCCCGACTGACCCGGGTTTGGATTGACCCGGGTCAGCAGATCTCCGAATCTTGGCGCATTTTTGCTCACAACGGGCGCTTCGCCAAACTTCGGGCCCCGCGGGACCCGCACAGATCGATCTGCTTCGGACAGTGGCCCGGAAAGGCGGGGTCCCGGACTCTGGTCGTGATGGTTTTGTGCTGTTGCAACGTTCTTGCAACGTCGGATCTCGGGTCAACAGGCCGCCCGAGATATCCCAGCTGGCTCAGCAGGCCCCCCGAGTAGTCCAAGGCGGTCTGAACACCCCGGCGCCGCCTCCCGCGGCGCCTTGAGGGCTCGGCACGCCACGAAGTGGGGATGCTGAAACCGCCACGGGCTACTCGGCGGGCCTGGGCTTGTGGAGGCCAGCCAGAACTACCTAGGGCGTCTGTCTGTGCGCGGCCCGCAGCCTTACCGTGCTGGTCACCCAGATCTCCGACGGTATTTTTGTTCCAATCTGGGGCGTTCGGGACGGGGTCGGGACCTCTGGGGCCCAGCCGCGCACTATCATGTCGTCGGATGTCTGGGCAGCCGCTTGTCCTGCTTCTCCGTGCTCGTGTCCCTTCTGCCACCCCCACAGACGGGAGCGGGTCTGCTCAGGCGCAGAGTAGGCCCTGTCTGAACCCTGGTGCAGAGTTGCTGAACTATGCGGCGGC